ACCTATTAAAGATACATGGAAAGCAGTTTTGGTAGGTGCTGTTAATATGAGCTGCTTCCCCTTAGTCTGAAAGTTAATCAGAACACCTTAAAAAACACATAATTATTTTTTAAAAACTCATATTTCTGTTTTATCCTCAATAAGCATGTAGGTCTTCACATATAGCTGATTTATGGTGACAGTTTCACAGAAGGAATTGTCACTTGCTTCTGTTTAAATTGGGGTCTGGAAGGCTATGTGTAACAGCATTCCTGATAATTGGTTCTATTATGAAGCACTGTCATGGCAAATTTTCTGAACACAAAACAGACTGCACAACACTACCTCCCAGGAAAAAAAAACTACAACGCTATCCTGCCTCAGCAACATAAATTTATATTCTAATTATGTAGAGTAAATGCAATTATACCTCAAATAATGCAGGTGCCAAACCTGAAATTTGGAGTACGTACTTTAAACAATACGGGGTTTACACAGAGCTTAGAACAAAGACATGAAATACTATGGTTTCAATTCTTCTTTAAAAGAAAGAAGAAAAGAATTCTTCCATCTTTTCAAAGTGTACTAGACTGCTATATTTTTCTTTTTTAACTCACTCTCTAGCAGACCTTTGCTACTTCATTAAAACATTTTTCAACATGTCATATACATCTGTGGTGTAGCAAACCCTAGTTTATTCATGCTGAGTGGCTAACCTTTCTCAAAGTAATTTAGCAACTTTTCTTCTTTCTTCCTTTAATAAAATCTCATCTGAATGGCTCTCAAGCAGAACTGGGCAAGAATTGACCTAAACATAAACCTTTTAAAGATTGGGAAAGGAAAACTTGGGGATTTATATATTTGTCTCGGTTCTGGTACATCAGCTTTGCTTTGATTCTAATTTTCATGCTTTATTCTGTCATCCAGGTCCAGCTAGCACTATAAACAACTTTCCTTGTAAAATTGCTCTCACAAGATTTCAAGTGAGAATGAAACTAAGTTTCCCAAAGGCTATCACATAACATGATCTTAGAATATAACCATCTTAATTTATAATTGCCTTCACACATACTGAGATTCTCCTCCAAACCATCAACTAAAATATCAATACCTTTATTTAGGATACAAAAATTATTTTTAAGGAATGTGTGATGGTTTGGACGGAATGAAAAATCAGCTAAAAAATTCTGAAAGAAATTAAGTAAAACCTAATTCAAACATTAGTTACAAAAAGTGATATTTCAATTTGTGTAATTTTTTTAACAAATTACATATTTCTTTCCCAACATTTAATCACTACATTTCCTTATTGCAGACAACATTTCATCATATTTGGTCAAAATTCTCCAGGTCTCAGGAGAATCCTTACAAAATTACATGCCAAATATCATTGATTATATATTAGTAATCCTTCATATAAATAATGAAAAGTCCTCAGATTGGTCTTTTAAGAGTAGTCTGTAGCCACAAATATGTATACAGAATTACTATAAGGCTTTTCATTGTAAAATTCCCATATTTCACTTTTATCTTGGATTTGAAACTGTGGTGATTTAAATTGTAGATCAGTGAGTAATAAACGGAGCTCACAGGAGTATCTGGGCAAAGTCCTGGCTGGGCAGCAGCACACTCTTTTCTCCTCTGAAATTCCCAACTATGCTTCATACCAACCAGCTCCAGGGAAAATTTAATGATAGAGGTACCTTATTTTCTCAGCTGAAAAGGAAGAGATTTTCTGCCTGGCAGGCAGGATATGCATTGGATTAAAACAGATCAGGACAAAAGCTCATTTGAGCACTGCATCACCCACAGTGAAGTTGAAAATTAAATGCTTAGCAAAAATAAAAATAAAAAAAAAATCAGAAAACTTAAGCTTTGAAATGTGAAGCCAGTTCAGATAACACAAAATTTAAAGCAAATGGAACTGACATAATATATAACTTAGTATAGGAATAAAGAACTACACCATCTGCTCCATTAAAGCAGTGCTCAAAGATAGGATATACGTATTTTCAAATCCATTTTCTTTGTAAAAGAAGAAGTGCTATTAAGTGATCATAATTTTTGTTTTACTCTATCATTTGAGGAAAATCATTTATGTTTGCAATTTTTTATTTCTTAGGGGTTCTTTTAATGGCTAACAGTACAGTACAGAAAGCTCTTGAATACAGTTTAAACCAGTACTTAATTCATTTTTTTGCAGTAAAGATCCCAAATCAGTTAAGGTGAAATCATTTTAACTTCCGCTAACTGGAGGATTCTACCTCTTTGCTATACAGTCTCGTTTTAATCCTATCCACTATTCCCTAGACACCACATTTTTACTTATATCACAGTATTGTCAAGCATAAGTGTAACAGTCTGGATAGGTTCCTTCCCCATGCTTCCAGGTGGATTAAAATCCTCTAACTAGCCCCTCTTGTTTTTTCAATAACCTTTGCCAGTTTCAAAAGTGTACATAGCCTTTAGGCAGGCTAAATCCTCTGCATTTTTGTACATTGTCTTTCCCACTTAACTACAGTGTCTCTCCCTTGACCTAAAGATTTAACTACTTTTTCCACTTTAGAGTCCCAAACACTTCCCTCAAAGGATCCCTCACAAAAACACACACCCCTCAAGCCTACTCAGAGGCCTAAATTAATTATGCTAATCAGACTATCCTGGCTAACCCAATTAAGTTTAATTAGCTGATGCCTTTCTTCCTAAACCGCCTTGCCTTGGGGACATATTACCTCTGCTTTTAAGCTAGCTGCAGAAGACAATCTCCTCTTGCAAACTTGCCCCCTAGCAACAGACATTCAGCAGGGAGAGACTCATGACAATAAGCCCTTCAAAAGCCTTAGTGAAGCTTCTTGTTTCTGTAATATTTAAAACTGGACCATATTCCCATTGGAATTTGGGCTGTGAACAAAAGGAGCTTATTTAGAAAGTCCAGCTTCTATATGATGCCAATACTGCCATTAATAATCATCCTTTCATGGATTTTCTATGTCATTGGAGAGAAATGGCAGCTCCCTGGTCATAGTCAAGAACACCTCTTTCTTTAGATAGCAGTGATCATCCACTACCCACCTGATCCTGAAACGTTCATTATTTCACCTCTGCCTCCATCCCATGTCACTGCAGGAAACCTCGTCTGCTTATTTTACTAAACCTGCATGCAGTGATATGCAGAAAATCCCCTCTGTGGCAGATTCTGGTTAAGTTCTGTCCTGCATGAAGTGAAACTACCTTCCCTCACTGCTTTGTGAACTGAACAAAAAACTTTTGAGCTTCTGGTTCATAAAAAAAAAAAACCACGAATTCTTTCCAAGATTTTCCCCAAAAAAAAAAAAAAAAAAAAAAAAAAAAAAAAAAAAAAAAAAAAAAAAAAAAAAAAAAAAAAAAAAAAAAAAAAAAAAAAAAAAAAAANAAAAAAAAAAAAAAAAAAAAAAAAAAAAAAAAAAAAAAAAAAAAAAAAAAAAAAAAAAAAAAAAAAAAAAAAAAAAAAAAAAAAAAAAAAAAAAAAAAAAAAAAAAAAAAAAAAAAAAACCAGTGTTGCCTCGGAAATACTGAAAAATGGCATTTTCTGAAAAATAGAGGCTTCTGGATTTCTTCAGATAGCCAATAAAACTTAAAATTCCTTTCCTTCTATCTTTAAACTGTTCTTTGGATTATTTCTAGACAAAAATTTATTTCAAATCACAGGAAATTTAAAAGGACCTAACAGACATCCTTCTTGAAATGCTTTTATTCTCATAAACATAGAATTGTGAGGTCAAAGGGGGAGAGAATAAAAATGTTGGTAATTAAACTATGATAATCAAACTATTTTTCATCTAAATAGAAATTGGTAAAGAAGAGGGAATCAAAATTTCAAAATATGTTCAATTTTTTAAGCCTTTTTTCTTTTCGTTTTAAAGTTGATATTATTTTATGCTGGATATCTACCTTTTTCTATTGGAAATAAAGTTCAGTTGGTTCAATAGAAACTTTCAGTATAGATCAAAGCTTTTTGGACAGCTAAGTGAGTTGTTCCTATTTTTATTCAACAAATATGGAAAATGCATTACTTTGATAATGATAAAAAAATCTTAGCATTGTGTTTATTTGGTTTATCTTCAAGTTTAAAAGTAAATATTGTACTGAACAAACTCTTCGTTCCAAGTGGTAAATGAAATGTTATTTTGCATAAATAGACTGTAGTTAAAATAAATACTGAAAGAGCCAGTATCACCTGATAAATTATGACCTAGGAAGATTTCATAAGTGATATAGAAAATTGGGAACTTCATTATCAAATATTTTATCCCATTTAAAACTCTGTATTCTAAAAAATATTATGATAACCAGAAGGGATTCCATTAATAATTATTCCAAGGAATATAATGCTCTGCAAAGAGTAATAATAAACTTATCTTCCTATTAAGAAATAACTTTGCCTCACATCACTGTATGCTTAGCTTTCCATTGCACAATCAATGTAATGACAGGCCTATATAGACTTATTCTAAATAATTCTAAATTTCAATGAGTTTCAGGTTTTTATTTGTACTTTTGTTTATGTGGTTTTTTAAGGGTGTTTTGTTTTGGGTTTTTGGGTTTTTTTGTAATATGCAAGTGTAAAAAACTGTGATATTTTAGAAAATTAATTTCTACTGATTTCAGTAAGACCTTCCACTAAGTGAATATTGCAAGAATACCTCCTTGATTGTACATTCCAACAACATGAACATGCTTTGCAAGTATGGCTTCTATATAAGCACAATTCTTAACAGGCTTAAAATCCAGAATAATTTGGAGAAATTCTGTACTTTGCAAAATGCAAACTATTCCTATTTCTCCAATTAAATACATTAGCAGTATGCTCTTAAACAGAAATAGGAGTCTCTGACTGAAATAAGAAAGACCCTTATCAAGCTAAATGTTACATTTCCAATTATAACACTTGGGAAACAGTGATAGGGAAAAAATGCTGGCTGTTACATACCAGAAGAAACAAGTCAAAACTTACTTTCTTGGAGGTCTTCTTTTTTCCCTTATCTCAGCTCTACACCGTGGCGCCTTCTGACCTATAATGTTGAACATGTTCAGGCTATTCAGCTGTTAGAATAAACTCCAGCAGCAAGTATGAAATGAATTTCCTATTGAAAACATGTTGATAAAATGTTGGCAGGTAGAAGTAGTGGCACATGATGGGGAGAAAATTACTTTGAAAATACCCAATCTAATGTTCATATTTGGAATTAAACAAGTAGTGGCCTGAAGCTTCCCAAGTATTCAGGAAACTGCATATCTTGCAAATTGTAGTAGGATATGGATTTCTCAAGCCAAACAAGTCCTGTGGCGCATATGAAGTAGAGATAGCATGTTTCCAAAACTGTTTATTTGGAATACAACCATTATTATAACCAAATTCTGCTGTGAATTAGCTTCCTTAGCTCCACAGAGGTCAGGTCTGTAGCTTGCACTTAGTTCTTAAAAATTAGCGTAGTACTGAAAAATGAAAGATTTAAATGCTGACATAACACAAAAAATAAATTCACAAAGCATATAGCCTACTCAATGATTTTTTTCTTCTTTAAGATTTAGACTGCTTAGTTCGTACTGTATCTACTTGAGAAGAACAACCAAATGTATATTTCCAATACAGAGAATTTACATGCCCTACACTCATGTATAACAAACATGTTCAAGTGATAGGAGAGTTCCCTATGACACGTGTATATTTATTGTTCCAAGGAGTCTGGGTGATTTTCTAAAAATTCTTCCTTAAACTGGCCTTAATGTGAGTCTCTTTCAAAGCTTTAGTATCCCAAAGACACTAATATAGCTTTCTAGATAATCTCTTAATCTTCTCCTTCTAAAGGTTTTATATGTGCTCCAAAGTGAAAGGACACTGTGCATCATGCAATAAATCAAGGAATTATTACAGTATGATAGGGACTCAAAAAGACCAGATGGTACATATTTCTCTTGAAGGCAGAGGACATTAATGGAGACGAATAAAACAAAACAAAGGAGTAAAGTTCAGAGGAGACATTCATTTTCAAGTCTTACTCTTCTCCTCATAGTTCATCTTGATCCCTCATGGATGCTTCTGTTTTCTGTGATCTCCTGTCACAGTCAAACAATAGTGAGTTAGAGAATGCAATTTAGAAGGATGGCATGCTATAGCAACAAATGATGTGTCAGGAAAGCTGCAAATGAAAAGTATTGGTCTCTCTTCACTCAGTGTTGACTTCTGAAGGTTTGTAGAAAGAAAAAGTAGCCTTCGAGACCTTGAAAGTTCTGCAGGCATATCTTTGGAGAGAGACAAACCTTCTCTCCTATTGACAAGCTTCCCCAAACTGGATTTCTTTTCTGACATTTTAACTTTGCAAGCAAGGGTCTGAAATAAATTGTCAAACTCACTGAAGACAAAAACCTGCTGTGATGCTCCAGTTTTAAAAGTTGATATGCTACTGTGTCCATCTGTCACTGCTAGTCTGTAGTGGGATTTTCAACATTAGTCTTTACCTGCTCTGATCTCTAATCATCTGCTAGAGAGGGAGAATAGTAATTAATCTTGGTGAATATTTCTCTGCTCTCACAACTCAGTAAGTTCTTTATCTATCTCTAGAACTTTTTAAAAAGAAATCCTACCTTGATTTCTTAATGTCAAAAATTAATATTTTGTGGCGGTTTTAATAACAGAGAATACTGTTGGATGTCTTGAGTAGTTAGATGTTAGATAAAGCACAAACTAACAAAATATATCTTAAAATACATTAAAATTTCTGGGAAAACTTCTCTAACTTGTGAATTGAGAAACAGAGCTCTCCAATCCCTGTTTTATTTATGATATTCCACTGAAAAAATGAGCCATAGTGCAATTTGTTTTTTTTTTTTATTTATTTTGAGCACTATTTGTGCATGAAGCCCTAAATTACATGCATACCCTTGATTTAAATGCTTCTAACAAACAGGACCACCCACTTTCTTCAACATAAAATTCTTAAGACCCCAATGCAAATGGTAGCCACAGTTTCTTTCCTTCAGGGTATTTTTTTATCAAATGATTGAAACACCTTTTATTCTCATAATTGATACAAATTTAAAGCCAAGCATATTTGAGGATTAGTTGGTTTAATAATTATGACAGTTTTATAAAACAAGACAAAACTGTTAAGCTTTATATGTGTAATTATATGATTATCTTATGTTGTGCTTGCATTGGCAAGGAATTCAGTGTAGTAGGAAGAGATCAGGAGAGCAATAAATTGGCACAGAGGCCCTTAAATCTACATTATACAGTTCATTGCTGCACCTGCTTGCCCTTTTCTGGTCAGAGGCTCTAACTCGGAGGCAGGCTTAGCCTGGGAACATATTGTCTGAGAGCTGGGGTGCTTGCCCAAGGTTTTCAGGTTGCCATGCCACAGATCATAATCAGGTACAATTCTGAGTGCCTTAGCTACTCTCAAGAAAACACTACCACATTGCTAACATACTTCCCACAGAGAGAAACAGCCCCTTTCAGGAGGAAATTTACCCCAGTGTGAAACACCTGCCAGAGAGGTACAGGCTGGAATCTACATCTCACTGTATAAACCATGGAAGTCCAATCAACCAGCCTAGCTATCTCATATCCTGAACATCAAATTTAGGAAGCATACAACCATATAGCTCATCCTTTATCGCTGTATCATTTTTGTGTTAACAAAATGTTAACACATTAGTGTTAACACCAGTTGCAAAATAATAGTGACGATGTTCATATACAAACAGGTAAACAATACTTATTTAAAAAAATAATTTTCTTTATGGGATAAAATTAAGAATATGAATTATCAATCACAAATAAAAAGGAGGAGAGGGAAGGATAGTAAATCAAAGGGAAAGAGGAAAACAGAATACTGGATGAAAGCGAAAAAGAAATTGTGTTAACCCAAAATGTTTTATTCAAACTCACATGCAACCTATTTTCATAAATTCATACCAATTCTTAGCTTTTTCATTTTTCATTTTAGCTTAGTCAATTAAACATAATTAAATTCCAGTTCTACATTTTTGCATTTTCATTATATGTTTCCTTTGTCTTTTAATTTTCTTCTTGCATACAGTTGTTTATTTTACCTGACTAAATTTTCATATAATTTAATTCCTGTAAAACTTATTTTTATTATGTATTGGAAAATTTTGTCCCACTTCTTTCAAAACACCAATTGTAAATTGTATACACACATACAGAGAGAAGTTTTCTTCAATTTTATGTTCAGTCTTTTATACTCAGTGTTGGAGGGGTGCTCATGGTCATTCTAACATTAAAAAAATTGTACTTTGGTGAAGAATGGTGTACTGTCCATATTTGAGACTTGTTATTTTCAATAACAATATGGTAGAAGTACTCATTACAGACTAGAAATAACTTACTCCAAGTTTGCCATGGTAGAGTTCACGCTGAGTGTTGAGATGCTGACAACCAAGAAAGCAAATACAACTGGCTCATTTCCAGTAGATGGCATTCATCAAAGTAGTAGGTTTCCAAGACTCAGTATTGTTTCTGCTCAATCTGCAAGTGCATGGTAGCATTTTAACAAAAAAAAGAGTCAAATAAATACCTCCCTTAGCTGACAGCACTGCTCATTTCCCACCTCTGCAATAAATCTAATCTATTTTAGGAACACTTCTTTAACTTTCACATCATACTTAGGTTTCGGATGTCATCCACGGGTTAGTGGAAATGTGCAAAGCTAGCTGAACTTGAGTTAAAGAGCTTTTCTAAAGAAACATGGTTTTGTCAGCCAGACAAATGTTGTCTCTCACTTATTTTTCCAGATTTCAGCACAGTATTTTGGTATTAAATCTGGGTCAGATATCTAAGTGCAAATGAGAAGATGCCTTCCAAGTCCTAGCTGGTTTTATTCCCAGCTAAGGGAGTGATTTACATTATCCTGGGACTTTTACAGTCTGTGTATTCTATTATTTCCTTCTCAGGAAATAGTCAAAGTAACACTTCTTATATTTTTAACACTGTAATGAAATCATAAGATGGAAAATTCTAGTGAATTAGACAGGCAGAAATAATATGAAAGGCTTTTGAATAACCAGAAAATTCTGAAAACATAACATTTTTTCAAGGAAAATGGGGATTGTCAATACTATGGAAATTCTAGTGTTTTAAACAACATCTACAATAGCTGAGCTACCCAAAACACTCAACTGCTTGAAAAGCAGTGACTTGCGCCCACATCCATAGCACAGCACTCCAGCTGATGTCATATTGAAGGCTAGATCAGCTTAAGCAGAACTACTCAAGGACTGATGGTTGTATTTTCACCTTTAGTCTACTGAAAATGCTGAAATGCATACACAAATGGTGGGCATGACAATGAAGAGATATTTTGGAAAAAACGGTTTGCATATTTTTGAAAAAAAATGTATCATAACTTTTTAAACCACTTACAAGCTCAATAATCTTTTCACAAGGCTCATCTAACCCAGCATATTCTGATTTGGAGATGTAGTCCATGTGATAGGGACAATTGCCACTACTGACTGCGGGCTACATGCTGCCAGTGGCTACAGTCATGCCTATCTTAGGCATGTCATTTCAACTGGTGGTATGTTTTGTATGAGGCACTGTCTAGCACTAATGTAGCTTCTATGGTTTTTAACCTGACTTGTTATTGGTGTTATTTCACACAGAACAGGCATGTTTGGTCCATATAGTGGTTCATATCAGAAAAAAAAATGTGTCTCTCATCTCCAATCTGCTGTATGAAAAATATTCATGTAAGTTCATCTTGTAAAATTATTTTCCTTCATTACTATTTGTATCTTTACAATTAATTTATTTTTGAACTTTAATGGTGAAGGTCCTAGAAGATACTCCACAAGGAATTTTTACAGGGATTTTCATTATTTCCTTTTGTTTTACAGAAATATTAAGCTTGATGTATTGAATGACCATAGTTGCATTCCCTGACGCTGTTTGTTAATCGATTTTTCTCTTTCCAACTGAAGGACAATAAGCATTTAGCAAGAATTCACATTACGTCTGAAGCTGGAATTCATGGGGATCTAGGCTAAGCAGACATCTAGTTTTCCTCCAAAAGCAATGCAGTGAGAAAGGCATCTCGAAGAGCCAGTACAACCTTCCTATCTTAAATAACTACTTTAGTCCTTGCAGAGGCATTTCTCTGTGATTATTTAAAGGAGCCCAGGTGCACAACTTAAAGTAGGCCTCTAAGTTTTAGACAGGTAATAATGGGTAAGATGAAAAGGCCGAATCCTGTGACCTTTTATTTTGTGCTATTAAATCTTATTACAATTCTCTTACCCTGGTCCTCAAGGTGTCTTAACTCTACACAATATTCAAGTGCTGCTTTGTATTTATAGTTCCTTTCACATTTATGCCATCTGCAAATTTCATTAAAACATTTTTGCTTTTTATGCCAGGGCCGTAAATGAATATAATAAATAACATCAGTTCTGAGCCAAGCTTTGAGAAATTCCACTGGTAACCTACTTTCAGCCCAACACTTTGCTTTTCGGATTAGGTGTAGCATATTCTTCTAGTTTCTTTAGCCAAAGTATATGTACAGTGTGAAAAACTTGCATTACTTTGAATCTTTCTAGGCTAGAAATATCAAAAATTTATAAACATTCAGAATTAAATGTTGGAACATATGATTCCTGAAAATTAGTAAAAGGATATTTAAATTATCTATTCAAGGACTTCAGGAGTGCAATTCCACTGCCTACACATGGGCATCTAGTGCCCTGAGCTGTGCTGTATGTTGCATCTCCATATGGACATACAGGGTACCATAAGACATGTCAGATGATACAGCTGCTCAGGCAAATAATTTGGGGGCTTTGTTCCTGTATTGGGTGTAGGCAGCAGGGTTTTGGTACAAGGAGGGCTGCAGGTGTGGCTTTGCAAGATGAGGGCTTGTCCCGTGCCAGACATGGCCAGGTCAGGCCCGTTCCACAGCAGATCCACCACAGCTGAGCCCATCAGCCCAAGCTAATCACAGCTCTGTGAAAACACATCTACCTAAGGTCAGAAAATGGGAGAGAAGGGAATAAAGAAAGAGAAACAAGAGGAAACACCAAATTCAGAGGAGGAGGCAGTACAATCATATGCACATCTCTCCCAAAGGACTGAGGTTCATGAAGGACCAATGCTAGAGGCCCTTGCAGGGGTGACAGCCCACAGAAGTCCTGCTGCAGAGCAAGTGCATCTCATAAGACTCTGTGGCCAGCAGATGAGCCCACACTGGAGCCAATATTATACTAAAGTACAATTTAGCACCAGGGTATTCTTTACTAAATGGAAAGAAATCCTTCTCTGAGTTACAGGACTTATTTGGTATATAAGATACACATGAAATAGACAAAGAAACAAGTCTGTATTATCACAACATAGAGCTGAAATTATTTTCCTGAATATTTAACATGTATAAGCCAGACAGATACCTAAAATAATTGTATAAGCTCCCTAAAGTCACTCCAAACGCATGGGGGAGGAGTCTGTGGTTAGGCTTTCTTTGACTATGCAGGGAGCATAATGATTTGGCTAGACCTGATGCCTTTTTGAGTTTTTTTGACAGCTAAATTTAGCAGGTTATTGTGGACAATGACCATCAAACTGCCGTCTGAGATATATTTAAAATTTTATATTCCTACAATGCAAAGAATATGGCTAAGTGTATTCAGTATTACTTCAGTGTCTAAGTAGTGATACATTACACCTGCTGGCTTTATATCCACAATTTAGTGAAAATGAGTTATGATTTGAATCATTAACTGTGATTACAGCTTCAAAAATAGACCTATAATAGTCATGTTCCCCATTTTCTGCTAAAAGAGAATCCAAACCTAGGTGCTACAGAATAGATCATTTTTTCTTAGAATACTACTACTTTACAGAATTGAATGGGGTCTTTCAGGTTGTGATCTATGCTTAGGCCAGTTGTGGTGGGAATACAAAATAGGCAAAGTGTTTCAGAGCACCTGTGCAATAAAAATACACTATACAAAGACAGGTACTAGTCAAGAGGGATATATAAGAGAACTGAAATGAAGGTCTCTTCAGTAACCTTGCAAAAGGGGTAGAAGTACCTCTTTGGGATAATTCATCACTTTCTCATTGTCACGGTTTAACCTCAGTTGGCAACAAAGTACCATGTCAACACTTGCTTACATTCCACACTTCCACCTCTCCATGTTATAAAAAGGAAAATTTTTAAAAAAAAGGTAAAGCCCATGTTTTGGGACAAAAACTATTCAATAGATGAAATTTAAAAAAAAAAGAAAATAATAATAATAATAATGTAGTAATGAAAAGAGAGATAACAAAAAGAGATAGAAACAAAACCCAGGAAGGGCAAGTGATACACAATACTGTTGCTCACAACCCACTGACTGATGCCCTGCCTGTCCCTAAGCAGTGATTGGTGGCTCTCAGCAGTTTCTATACTGGTCATGACATTCCATGATATGGAATATCCCTTTGGCCAGTTTGGGTGAGCTATCCTAGCCATGTTACCTCCCATATTCTTGTGCACTTGCTCACCAGCAGAACATGCAACACAAGAAGTCCTTGATTTAGAGCAAGTTACTTAGCAACAGCCAAAACATCAGTGTGTTATCAACATTATTCTCCTAGTAAATCCAAATCACAGAGCACTGTACTAGCTACTGTGAAGAAAATTATCTCTGTTCCAGCTGAAACCAGGAGACACCCATGATTAGTGAGATGCTATCTAGAGAAAGAAAAAAGATACATAAGGTTCAAATGTCTGAATGGGCACTTAGCTGAGGACACATAGCTGAGTTATTGGCATCTTTTTTAGGATGCACATTAAGTAAAGGAGAACAAACAAGCCCTACTTTTCACCATTGCTCACTCATTACAGTACACACCAGGAAATAGGATATCTGGCATTTTCTGAGTGCAGCCCCAGTTTCACAGAAGAGTCATTTTGGGATCAAGTTGCTCCTTAATACTGTTCTTCTCAATCATTGCTCACTTGTTGAAGATAAGCCATGATACAAGAAGGAATGGAAAATATTTTCATTGACCCTAAATAGTCATGGACAATATACAACCCATGGTAGTATCACAGTTTTAAGGGTAACAGATATTAATACATACTTCTGTACTAATTTTCCTCTGATATCACTGTATTTGCAATCTTTTATCTATTAACTCCTACTGTAGTGGCCCAAACATCCTGAGACTCTGCCACCACCCTTCCCAGCTCTCTATTCAAGGCCTATACATTCTGGAGCTATTTTGCAGGAGTATTCTGGAGTAGGCAGTAAAAAAAAACCTCCCTTTTGCCTTCAGTGCCATCTCAGTCAGCAGCTCTCCCTATTATCTACAGCAAAATATCAGAGTTAAAGTCTTGTATACATGCAGCTCTACTAGACAGACAGTAGACTCCATGAAGGAGTGGTTGAGGGAGACAAGTTGGTTGGTCTAGGATATTCATGCATGTGAATTTCAGAGTGGGTAATAAAAAATCAGTCCTAGAGCTTCCAGCAGCATATTCTCCTAAAATCTTCCCTATTATATAAAATCAATCAAAACTTGCCTTTAAGTATTTAGTGAGGCCAGATCAATTGTAAATTGAGGAACTGCATCACTAAGAGAGAGATAGCTTAGCTATTCTACATAGCTTCCCAGAACTCCATTGCCCTTTTCGGAAAATATTTAATATCAGGAAATGTGCTCATAACATGACCTTTTTTTCCTCTTCACAGTAACACTATGCAAAATCTAAACTTTATAAGCCATTTCTAAGTCTTCAATTTCACAGTATTTTCTCAATCACAATTGATTACTTTGGATTCTGGGAATTCTTTGGATTTTTCTAATAGCTAGCAACCAAAGGAATAGTCTTTTAAGTGTAGAAATATAAACATTTATTTTAAAAAACCAAACATAACCCTCAAAACCAAAGCAAACATTTTTTTACAATTATTTTCAGTGAAGGTAAATGGAAGTTCTCAAATTCACTCTCATTCAAAATGAAAACTTTCTTGAAATATCAGAATTTCTTCTAGAAGGGATTTTCAGAGTGTCAGTCAGCTCTGCCTGAAAGTACCTTTCTGAATTCATTCAACCACAGAATCAAATCTGTGATTCTTTTCAAGGGTTCTGAAAAGTTGTATTGTATTTTCACTTTAAAATGCACATTAAAGCATTACATGTGCTTCAATGTGCATTCTCAGCAACAAAAATGCTTTTAACCCTCAATTTTAAAAGCAGCTGCAGGGATTTATTCCCCAGAGAAGACAGTCTTAAAAAGGCCAATGGAATTTCTAGGTTCCTGAGGGACCATGTTAGGCTTGTTTGGATTGTCTCTGGGGTCTTTCATACAGTTCAGCTGAGGAAAGTGCAATTTGTTCCTTATGTTTGCTGATCATTCTTTTTTAACTAATTCAGCAAGTACAAATAGCAAAAAAAAGCAGAATAACCAGCCAACATAGAAAATATCTAAAGTGCACACACTTCCATTTTACAATTACCCCTCTAAAAATCATACTGATCAGAATTTCCCCTGCATGTATAAGGAAGTAAGGATTATACATTTTTTTTCTTTCCCTCAGAAATTAAACATCCACCGTCACTCACTAGGCTGAGTTAGATTTCTGTATTCATCTCCCATGGGAAACAGCAAGAAGGAATTGTGGGTCAGC